ATTGGCTAGTGGAAGAGCTTTAAGTCATTACTACTATCTCTGAAAACTAGGTAGGAGGATTTTAAAATTATACTGGCAAGACAGATTCATGGTTAAGTGCCACACCATTACTGTAATCACGATGCAGTAGTGATGTGACTTTGTAGCAACTTGTATGTGTGGGTAAAAGGTATGGCAGAGTCTTGCAACAGGGCTAACGCTTAAATTTTTCTAATGTATACAAGACTCTAGAATCTGATAGGCCATAAATAAACACTAGCCACTTCCATCTTGGTCTTCATCTGTTTTTTTAAAGGAAATATGTTGAACATATTCCCTGCCCTTGTCCTGACAACAGCCAACACATTATTGCATGGCTGCACAAAGGAATAAGATGTCTAACATTTACTCCTCCATACTACAGTTCAATCTGAGTGCTAAAATTTGGTGATCTTTCCCAGAATCTGATTTTGAAGCTCTGTAAAATAATGTGAAACTGTCCAAAATAATTAGAAACCAGTGAGAGTGATTTTCTTTTTCTAATTGGAAAATCTTGTCGGCAGAAGCTGGCTAGCTATCAATACCAAACTTGTCTAAAAGCTATATGTTTTTATATTTATGTAGACACTTGAGTGATTTGAAGAACTGGAGCTCTAGTCAATCTTCCCTTCCCAGCTTATTTTATAAACACATTTATGGAAATTGATCAAGATCACACTGTCCTGGTTAGTTTCTCTTTGCAATAAGGATTTCTAGTCTCAATATCCCATATCATTCTAAATAAGCCCTCTCCCTTCTTAAAGAGTTCACAGCCTTTAAACCTGCTCTGTCTCTCTTTCAAGCCCTTTAGCCATTACTTCACTAACTGAAATTTTTGGTTTTTTTTAAACTTTATTCAAAAAGAGAAAAAAAACAATCGCATCATTGTCCTATAATTTTTGGTTGCTCTTCTCTGAATGCCTTCCAATTTGTGTACCCCTTCTTCATTTTGAGGTGTTGAGATTGATCAACCATCACATAGCTAACTTTAATTCATTTGCACTGTGCAATTAATACAATTTAAAAATTAATTTTATTAAAAAATACAGAACACAGGTGTCAGGGCTGATCCCCACTCTGGCACTCCAAGTGCATAAGGTGGGGGCCCGCAAAGACCTTAAATCCCTTTGCTTCCAGGTTCTGCTTCTAAAAACTCCCAGTCTCAGATAGCCTGGCTCTGAGAAAAAAAACAAAAGCTGCCACCATCAAATGATTTACCCTAAAAATATAGGGGAGAACACTTGAATTCCTCCCCCAGAGGTACCCTAAGCTCTTTTGCCCCAAAGAGCTTGAAAAAAAGAAAACAGAAAAATAAGCTGCTGTTTCTGGTAGCTAATTGCCCAGTCTCAGGCAGGCAAATACAGAATCCACTGTTACTTTCCAGAAAAAAAGAATCAAATCATCACCTTAAAGTGATTTTTATTAACAAAACGAAAGATATACTTGATAAAGCATACTTGGTTGCTAGATGTTACAGAGCAACTAGGAATGAACAAAAAGAACTATAGTCCTTTGGGCAGTAACTTTAAAATAGCAAATGGCGGAGAGAAGACATGGATTCACACAGAGAAGTTTAGACCAAAAAACCCAAAACAAAGAAAAGTACCCTGATCACGACTAGACAGACATTTTTTCCCCTTGATTTACTCATGATCCCTTCCTGATTCAGTCCACGCCCATACCCCAAATTCTTTCGAGGCATGATAGTCCTGCCTAGGTTTAAATCATTCTGTCTCTCTCAATTCCCAGCTTAACTCTCCAAAAGAGCAGACGGTCTGCAGATATATATTTACAATATAAAATGTCAGCATGTATCCCTTTAGTTCTTCTGGCTCCCTGCCAACAATACCCTAACTACCTGAGTTTAACTCTTTAGGAGGCCAGCTCTCCTCCCATCTATTACAAGAGGAAACACATTTTGATAAAAAGTTTTTGATGCCACATATAAATATATGGCCCTCAAATGACACTATAAATCTACATTAAAACTGCAGAAGTAGTTTGCTAGTCACAATTAATTCCAGAAATGCAGGTGGGTAAATTTATTATAGAATTTTAGAAAATGAAAAATTGTGTGCAAAAACTACTTCAAAATTTCATACTTTAAATGTGATATTAGTAGAAATAGAAAATTAACAGATTATCAACTAAATTCCAGGCAGTACTATGGACTATAATATTATAAATAAAGGAAAACATACCTGTGACGTATGTGACTTTGCAAGAGGAGATGAACATGCTTCTTGAAATTTCTCTTCATTAATTCCAATCTCCTTAAGATAACTTTCTAGTAGTTTTTCAACCTACAAAACATTTAATCTTACCTTCTACTAATTTTTATCCTAGCCCACAGACATAAAAGTCAGCAAACTTTTATACTCAGTTGACAAACTATACTAATTTGCAATACATTACTGTTGTGATTTTTATATTTTTGCAGACAGTCTCCTTTATATTTTTGTAGACAGAGGCTCTTCCCCCTTGCTGCTGCCTCTGATAGACAGGCAAGGCAGCACTGTGGGGCCAATGCTGGGGAGGAGCCAGCTTTTAAGCCAGCCCCCTACCCCGGCACCAGCTCCTGCCTGCTCCTCATTCTCCCTGCTGCCTCCTACAGAAGCAGTGGGAGTCTGTGGAGCCAGCACATGTGGCAAGCCAGAACTTATCAGTTCCCACCTTCTCCTCCTCACCCTCCACACTGATGTTTCTCTATCAGAGGCAGCAGTGGCGGGGAGATGGGAGTGGGAGGAGCTCTGGCTCCAGCCTCTCTCCCTTGCTACCTCTGATACAGAAGCAGCAAGGTGGAGGGAATGCGTGTATTTGACAGGATTAACCGATAAGACCAGGCTTATTTGTTAACCACATAGTCATCTACACATTGACATCCCTAGTCTATTATTAAGTTCTCACATATTCCTCTGACACATCTGGTACCGGCCTCAGTGAGACACAAGAGATTGGACTAAACAGTGTTCGTCCCACTTTGAGAAAGCTCCTAATAGGCTTCCTGAGGCTCCCGTTGGCTGCAAATGGTGAACCGCAGCCAATGGGAACCATGCAGTTCCGTGGCTGCAGAGCTGTTAAGTAAACAAACCAGAGTGGCCTGATTGCAGCTCTCTCAAAGTGGGCCCTTAGCCCACCTGACTAAATTAACTACTGCTGATTAATATATCCAGATCTATGTTCCGGTTTCCCACACCCATGATAGTTCTCACGCTCCTTTAATCTGCCACAATGTTTTTTTAAAATGCAAAGTTATTAGATTTTGTAAATGGCTACTTTCAGTTTTTGTAAAAGTTACAAGCATATAGTTACAACCCTAGAAAGGGAGCAGATTCTTTGTTGCACTTGGATGTTTTGCCAGGATTGCAGGATATTTGGTTGAATTTGTAATACATTGCCTAAAATATTTATTTTAAAATTACAATACAAGTTTCTTACAAGATTAAGTGCAATTGGTGAATAATACTCACCAGAGCTTTGTACTCCTGATGAATCTCTGTATATGATAGCTTGCTTTCTTCTTCATCATCAAAAACTGAAATTAAAATAAAGGAAACTTCACTTTTCTTAAAATGTAAATGTCAATAGTAGAAAGAACATTTGAAATACTGAAATATTAGACAGTTAGTGAACCTCAATAAAATGCATCCCTAATTAAAAAGTAAGATCTACCTATTATAAAAGGTAATATATATTTATCCTCAAGTCACATACCCAACTATGGCCCCAAGTTGTCTAGGGACAAAATGATATGTAGAATATCAGTTTTCTAGCATCTAGAAAAACATATTACAATGTTAAACTTCAGAAAAACCTACAAATTATAAATATTTATTGTAGTCAGATAGATGACATTTGGAAAGAGTAAATTCAATATACCCAGTTTCCACAGTTATCAAGAAAATGCATGGCATGATTTGCAATACAATCTTATTCTGTTTCTTACATAGTGTTAATACTACAAGCTAGAACAGTGGTTCTCAAACTTTTTGACCCACAACCTATCCCGCACAATGCAAACCTTTCTGCAGACCATCAGCCAATCACCCCTGATGACAAAATGGGTGCAGGAGCAGGCTGAGGGTGGTGGGGTTTGGGTGCAAGGTTGGATGCAGGAGCAGAGTGGGAGTGAGGGGTCTGGGAGAAAGGCAGGGTACAGGAGCAGATAGAGGTGCAGGATCTCAGCAGGAGTGTGTGTGAGGGGGGTGGAAGTGCAAAGTCCAAGCATGAAGAGGATGGGGGGGTGCATATCTGGCTCTGTGCCTTCCACTGCTCCCAAGCACTATGCCCCACATCTCCAGTGATTGTGATTCCAGTCAATGGGAGCAGAGCAGAAAGCCTCCAGGTAAGCAGTTTCCTGCACTACGGGGAAGGGGGAGCAGCAATGAACCAAGCCACTTCCTTCCCCTGCAACCCAGTTCTGGCCCATGAAGCTTGACCTTCCTCCCTCACAGTGAAGACATTCATAATTATCATCTTTGGTCAGGGCTTACAGATGCTTTTAACATGAGTTCATCTCCCATCCTTGTGGGTGTGAGGAAGAATCCACATCACTCATTCCTCCAGCCACTTGCTCTGACTGCTGTTTGTTGTGCAACATTCATGCCACTGCTTGATTGTTGTAGGCTCTGTCATCATCTGTTGCTGCCATCTGCCACTATAACCTCTGTGAGTTGGTCTCTTGAGGTTCAACCCAGCTCTCAGTAATTTTAGCCCTCAGTGGGACATTCTATTTGCCAATGCAGGCTGGACAGTCCCTTCCACAGAAACACTGACCCACAGAAGATCTAAGCACTTTGACCTAATGATCAGTGATTTCACCTCTAGTGATTATTTAAATCAATCAATAAAGGACTATCAAACCTGTGATGGATAGAAGGAGTGCTGGCCAGCACCCGGTGACTAAAGAGTTAAATTCAGGTAGCTAGCAGGGGTGTTAGCAGAAAGCCAGAAGAGCCAATGGGATACAACACTGAAATCTGAATTGTATATAGATATCCTGCCTGCTTTCTTTGTGTGTGTCAGTTAAGCCAAGAGTTGGGAGACAGAATAAATTAAACTGAGGCAGGACTACCATACCTCCAAGAAATTCAGGGGCATGGAAGTGGACTGAACCACGAAGCAATAGTGAGTAAATAAGGAAAAATGTGTATTTAGTCATGATCAGGGTAATTTTCTTTGTTTTGGTTTTTTGCTTAAACTTCTCTGTTTGAATCCATGCCTTCCCTCCCCTACTCACCATTTAAGCTACAGCCCAAAGAGCTATGTTTCTTTGTGTCTCTGATCTATTCTTTTCTTAGTTGCTCTGTAACACCTAGCAAACAAGTATGCTTTAAGTATAAGTTTTTGTTTTGTTAATAAAACCACCTTTATTTAAGGTGATGATTTTATTCCTGTGTCCTAGAAGGTAACAAGTTCTATGTATGCATGCCTAAGACTGAGAGGTCAGCTACCTAAGACTGCAGGGTTTTTTTTCCCACTCTTTTTTTCCAAGCTGTCTCATGGTAAAAGAGCTTGGGGGTACCCCTCTGGAAGAAGTTCAAGTGCGTTCTTCCTGGGTTCAAGAAGACAGGCATTTTTTTTTGTTTCACAAGGTGGCAACTACCTCCCATGGCTAGGAGATCTATGGAGCTTTTAAGCAGAAGCCTATAGAGGCAAAGTATTTTTAAGGTGTCTTAATGGCCCCCCTCCTTGTGCACTCAAAGTGCCAGAGTGGGGAACAGTCTAGACAGAGCCTAATCAGCTCTATCTTTAAACAGAAGAGGAGGCAGATCAAGTAGTACCTGAGAGTCTTAGGCAGAACTCACACCTCCAAGCCAAATATAAATTACTTTTAATGAATCTGTAGCCATGTAAAACCTGCAAAAAGCAGTAAAACCTTTTTTAGTCCTCTAAAGCTTAACTTTTGACAAACTTTCATCAACTCATGACTCTAACATGAATAATAAAAGTGTCAACTATCAAAGCAAATGTACAGTAATTCCTCATTTAACACTACAGATGCGTTTCTGAAAATGTTCGTGCTAAGTGAAAATGTGCTATGTGGGGTCAATTTTCCCAATAAAAATAATGAAAAAGGTGGGAGTTGCATTTCAGGTAGTGGTGGTGGCAAAGTCAATTTTTTGTTGGTGCTGGGTCATCAACGTCAACATTACCTATCTAGCAACACAAGATAACTAGCAACACAAGTTGCCGCTGTTTGTTAAAACACAAAGATAAACACGAGTGATCGGAGAAGTGCTGTGACCACGTGTATTCATTCGCTCATGCGTATTACCACTGTTTTCACCAACTTATACTGCCGTGCGAAGTAGTCTGCCACTTGATTATTTTTGTGTTATTTCAGGGACAGTAGTGTTATTCAAAAAACGTTCCCCCCCAAAAAATCATGCTATTGCGAAAACATGTTAAGTGGGCACGTGTTAAACAAGTTATTACTGTATCTTCTTTTCATAAATGTCAAGGCAGTTCTAAGCTTTACAACGCCACACTCCACTACTTATGTTTCCATGCAAACCTTAAAATCCCTCTTTATCAGATACCATGCTCTGCTGGAAGCACAGCGCTGAGTCACTAGGGACTAAGACTCGCAGAGACATTTCAGTGAAGTGTTGCTACCTGGACGCAGATTTAAGTAGGGCAGTGTTTCCCAATTGGTGCTCTGCGGAACCCTGGGGTTCTGCAGAGCACAACGAGGGGTTCCTCGAGGAGCCAGCGCTCCCCCGCCCCCTCTGAAAAAGAGAGAGAGAGAGCCAGCTAGCCAGCAGAGGAGTGGGCGGCGAGTTTTGTGGTGCCCACGCTCCAGCAATATTTGGAGCTGGAACGGGTCTCGACCCCCCCCCCCGTGTCCTCCCACCCCGGCCCCAGAGCGTCTCTCCCCCGGCCCCCGTCACGTAACGTCACAGCGCGGGATTTTAAACTTGCTGGGCGCTGTGATGTGCCGCATGGCTGAGTTGCGGGTTCGGAGTCCGGGGACAGAGCGCAGACTCCGGCCCCACAAAGTAGAAGGTAGAAGGTACGGGAGAGGGGGAGGGGAAGGAGAAGGGGAAGGAGAAGGGGAGAGAGAGGGGAGGTGAGGGAAAGGGCTCACATGATGTCACAGCCCGGGACTTTAAAACTCCTCAGAGGCACATTGCAGGGCATAGTCCGGGGACAGAGCGCAGACTCCGGCCCCACAAAGTAGAAGGTAGAAGGTACGGGAGAGGGGGAGGGGAAGGAGAAGGGGAAGGAGAAGGGGAGAGAGAGGGGAGGTGAGGGAAAGGGCTCGTGCAGAGGGAAAGGGGAAGGGCTGGGAGAGGAAGGTGCTTGTGCGGAGGGGAAGGGGAAGGCACCAAAGGGACAGGGGTGGAGGAGAGACAAATGCCAGGGGGCCAAGCGCAGACAATGAGGAAACGGGCAGGAGGGGAAGTGTTAGTGGGAGGGGGGACAGGGTGATGCTGGCAGAGAAGAGGGTAAGGGCATTGGGGGCTAAAGGGGTGACGGGAGATGCTGGGAGAAGGCTTGAAAGAAGGGGTGGGCATCAGGAAGGCTGGGATGGAGCAAGTCATGTGAGAGGGCACAGGGGCATGAGGGGAATGGGGGCAGAGGGTGTTGAGGGGTGGGCATCAGGGAAAAATGGAGCGAAGGGGGAGGCACCAGGAGGGTGCAGGGGTAAGGGAAGGTGCAGGTGCCAAGCGATTCTGGGGGTGAAGCAGAAGGGTACCTGCAGGGGAGGGACCACCATCAGAGGAGAGATGCAGGGCAGGTTTGTAGAGGGAGGCGTTAGAAGAGGGGATGAGGAGGGGTAGCTCACATGATCAGAGTGGGGCTACTGGAGAAGTGGGC